GACTCTTCCCCTAATAAATCCATGCTGATTGCCCCTGAGCATCATTTCTGATGCCGGCCCCTCACAAATGTGCTCCTTGATGATCTTCTCAAAGAGTTACTTTATAAGGACTGGAGATTACATGGCTCTATATGTAATGCCCTTGAGATCAGAACCATCAGACCAGCCTACATGGAATTCCTACCTGTATTCCAAAATATAATAGTGTAAATCTTTAGAAATAACACAAAAGCAATTATTCAGACAAACAAGCAACTAAGGCCCTGCTCTTTGCCCTTCTGCCTTGACATCATCAAACTGTGGATTAGTGCCCTCAATATAGGGTAACCTCAATGGCCTGTTATCTCCCAATGCATTGAGGAATTCCTAAACAAACAACCCACAGTCATTACAAATCGTCTTTGCATATTTACATCATAAAAGCTCTATATTCTCTCACTGGCAAATCTCCCATAGTAGATTTGTTTGCTATTAATGGCATGTCATGTGACAGAACTGATAATGCTCTTATAGCTTGAGTTCATTGCTATTTCCTTCCCATCTGTAGTATAACCCAGGCTGCTTACTTTCTATTGAATGCTCTGATTCCCCAGGTAATCTTCACAGTCAAAAGAGACCATGTCATTACCACTCTTGCAGCACCACAGTGACCAAGACAACTGCATGGTTATATGACCTACTGCTGACGCCCAGTAAGCTTCTGATTCAGATCCCAGACCATTACAACCTGTTATCACAAACCAAAGCCAGATTTTTTATCTAGACCTGAAATCACTTCACATAAGTATATGGCTGGTGGCTTGTTAAGTACATCCTATAGTATGTTCCCAGCAGGTCCAGGAAATCCTGAGACAGAGTGAGAAAATATCCCCAGGAAGTATATTCACTCAAATGGAAGTTCTCAAAATAGTCAATGCTGTGCAATCTTGATCTAGTCTAGACCTTAGTCCAAGGATCCTCATGCACTTAAAACTACCAGCCTTTTGTTCAGTTCTTTACACATATTTTACATTTCTTTCTACTCAAAGAAGAAAGAACACATATTTATTCTAGAATAGTTGTGGTTCTTTGAGTTGGTGCTGTCACTGTCAATCCTGTGACCATCACTTGACCCCCATTCTTAATTTATAATTACCATGAGCTCTGGAATGCAAGGAAACTGAGGGAGGTAATAGTTGCTCTTCCTTTATGGCATTGCACTGGAAAATACTGTGATATTGTATCCAGAAGGTATATACATATATGTACCATATTTACTCAAATATAAGACAACCCTGAATATAAGGCAACCCCTCAATAATTTTATTATTTATATGAAAAATTAGTTCATGTGCTAATTTTCTAGGTGTAGAATCTAATTAGCAGATTGTCCTGAATTCATCCCCCTTCCACTGCTACAGCAAGGTATATACAGCCCTCTGTCCCCCGAAGTCTTCCTGATGCAACCTTCCTGCCCCACCCCCACCGTCAGACCCTGCTTAGACTCTGTTCCCTCTTCAAGCTCAATGTGGAAGTGAGCTACATGTAACAGTAAGTGTGGGGAGGGGTGAAAGACTGATAGGAGGGCAAAAACTGAAGAGGGGAACAAGTGACTGCTGTGGATCTGACTCTGGCCTCAGCCCTAACTGCTGTAATTTTCAACATGGTAATTCCATAAACACACTTTTGATCATCACTTTTGTACCTACCTATACATTGTACAAACTGTGCATTATATTAGTTCAGCCCCAAAAGGCTCATGACTTCTCATAAAGTTTATTGGGTTGGCTCCCAGCAAAATCAACAGCGGTTCAAACCAGGGTGATACTACAACCTATCACTGCTCAGTAATATGTGTATACTCCAGATACTGCTCCATAAAGGATCCACATCCTAATTGGGCCCTCCCTCACAACTGGAACCTGGTGTTCTTGCCAAGGAGGTGGTCCTCCCCCTTTATGTGACATTGGTCAGGCCGCAGTTGGAGTACCGCATTCAGTTTTGGGCGCTGCACTTCAGGAGTGATGTGGACAGCATTGAGAGGGTCCAGAGGAGGGCCACTTGCATGGTCAAGGGGCAGCAGGGCAGGCCTACGAAGAGAGGCTACAGGACCTGAACCTGTTTATCCTCCAAAAGAGAAGGCTGAGAGGGGATCTGATGATTGTCTATAAACTTACCAGGGGGGACCAGCAGGGAATGGGAGACTTGAAAAAAGAGTTTGTGCTGAGAGAGACTGAGCACAATGGGCCACTGTATCTTATTTAGATTGGTTGTACTAACCTAGACTTGGGGCGTAGGTTCCTATCAGTGTATTTGCCCAATGTGGGATATGTAATTTATGGGCATGCACAGCATGGGCTGCATTCCCTCAACTTCGTTGTTGGTGTCCATAACTGAGTACATGCTGCTTCTAGCAACAATTTAATGACAATATATTTAATGGAGGAGGGGGAGGAGAGATTTGTTGGTATGCAAATAAGATGAGGGGCTTTTTCCCCCATGCTGATTAAAGGAAAAAACCCTCATTTATATTTGAATAAATATGGCAGTTACAGATGGATCCAAACAGTCAAGAATATCTCAGAGGCCTACAGTTACTGAAGGGTGAGTAGTCTATGTGATCTATAACAAAGACTGAACCAAAATCATGACATCAATACCCAATGTTAAGGGTTTTTGTCTGAAAATTTCTCCCTGGCAGATTTTCAAAGGAAATACAAGATAGAAGCTATATCAATGTTAATACAGACAAGAAAACAGAAATACAATATGAGAAGGAGTGTATAGTTAACTTGGAAATGTCTCTCTGCAGTGAAAGCTTGTCTAACTTTATTCCAACCATGCAGTTGATCCA